CTCTTCTCACCCATGCATACTACATGCAATGTCCATCTCATTTCCCTTGGTTCCATCATTCTAATTATGCTTGGCGAAAAGTATAAGTTATGAAGCTTCTCATTATGCAGTTTTCTCCAACCTCCTGTCACTTCATCTCTCTTCGGTCCAAATATTCTCCTCAGCACCCTGTTCCCAAATACATACATAGTCACGAATTCGGGGTTAGCGTGACGAATAATAATGGGTTATGGATTTGATGATCGGGTTTACTGGACACTCACAAGTCGTAACTACAAATAACTGTAACACTGTCGACATTACTGTTACAAAATCTTCAATGTCTGCTTTCTTAGTCGTTGTTATGTAACGAATCTTATTTGAATAACACTTCACAGCTGAATCCTCAACTACTGAACTGCCTTGTGAATTCTCATACGAGCGACTCTCCAACTTGAATTCTGAATCTTATATTATGACCGACGGTCAGTCGGCCAGTCTGTCTTGGTGTCAAGCACCCACCTGGGGCCTACGACTAGATTTTTATTACTCTCAGACAGTTGGGGTTTTGTCGATATGGGGCTTTCTCTCTGACGAGAGGACGGTTATGCCGTTTACAATTGTTGCTGGTCCTCGTCAGCGCAGTCATTCTCGGGTCAGAGTCCCGTGGGACTCGCGACCATATTTTACTGTCTCAGATTCGATACTTCTCTTTTCGTCGCCTCCACCGAATCGCAGGGCTACGGTGGAGGTATTCGAGTCCGCCTCCACGCGGGATTGACTTTAATTCAGGAATTAAGTTCCTTTTAATTACTTCCAGAGAACTGAACAGCGATCACAGCCTCCAAGGTTCCCACTACTGATTTTCATGAATGTGTGGTCTTGGAATCTGTGCATTAAATCCGAAGCAGCAGTCCCGTTCCTACGTGTTTACTACTTTCAGTTTCCGTAACCAGTTGGTTCCCAAGAATCAATCTCTCCGTGACAGCATATCTGTCAATTCTTTTCCTAGAAACGGCCCATATGTCAGAATATTCAGTCTCTATATTCTTCCCTTAATGTCAGAGACCAAGTCTCACATCCATGCAAAATTAGAGGCAAATTTTAATTGTGAGAAATATTTCCTCTTCTTAGAATATACTTCAACCTATAAGGACAGCCAAATTACTTGCACCGCCGAATCCGGCCCTTCGGCTAGAAAGTTTTCCTATCCCTGGTCTGTATGAAAAATCTGAACTCTGATTAATCCTCCTTCATCAATCGAGGAGCAGCAATTTCTCATCGTATTTCTGCTACTACCTGTCCTTATATCTGAGCATAATTATGTCTCTTCAAGCGAATAATGGCAAAGCGTGGCAATAATTGAATTGTGACACCGTTCGGAGTTCGGGATTGAATTAGAGAGTAGAATCTTTGCCTGATTGCTATTGAAAGATCGACTCCAACAAGTTGCAGCTAAGGAAATATTGTATTAAGGCTTCCCAACAGTAGACTCCCTGATGTAACTGAATGAATGCCTCATTCAAATACATAATATCTTATATGTGCGCCTTCAGATACTTGCTACGAAGTTAAAAATGTAAAATATTTTGACAATCAATGTTTTTTAATTGAGTAATATTTTCAGTTCTGTTACATAGTCACGCTATTCAATAACAATTCATGAGCATATTATGAACGAGATTCATACTACCCATTTACGAGTGGATAGAGCGATCTCTCATATTAGGGAGAACAATGGCACAGAACAGCAGAGGAAAGAAATTTCTCTCTTCTCCATGCCGGCCAGAGCAACTCTAGAGCCCACCCAGTCTCCTATCCAATGGGTACCGAGGAGTTCTTTCCCCTGGAATAAAGCGGCCGGAGTGTGAAGCTGACCACTCACCTCCATCTAGTGCCGAGGTCAAGAATAGTAGAGCTATACCTCCACTCCCCCACACTTCCTCATAGCGTAGCGCTTAATTGCAGGGATAACTTTAACCTTTACTTCCTACACGGACAAAGTTTCTGAAAAGAGGACGCAGGGGAAAGAATTTGGATTCAAGAGGGCGGAAGTAACAGAAGCATAATGAGGATCTTCAAAATCTGTACTCGCCAAATTCTGCTAGAGCAGATCTCAGTGACCGCGCGTCCAAGGCATGAACTGTCTTCGCTCGCTCGAACACTGGGATCGTGGGTTCGAAATCCATTCGGGGCATGGATGTCTGTGTGCGTTTATTCCGTGTCTGTGTTGTTCTGTGTGTAGGTAACGGCCTTGCCCCGGGCTGATTCCCCATCCAAGGAATCCTACCGAAAGTGTATGGGTTTTTTTTTTCACTGGCTCTACAGCTCCCTTGGGCCCTGACCCTTGATTTTCAGTTTTATGTTCATTTTACAGACTGTAGGATTCGTTGGAGGAGTGATCAGCTCGTCGCAAGGCCTCTACCTAAACACAGGACAACACAAACATAGAATAAATGCGCATACATACCAAACATCCATGCCTTGTGTGGGATTCGAACCCACGATCCAGGCTTCCGAGCGAACGAAGACCAAGGTCCAACAAAAGGAATGCACAGCCATACATAAATAAATCATTCATTCATCTGTAATCTGTCAAGACGACAGGTCCACAGTCTCTTCCAAAACAGTTCCCCCACTTGATGCGATCTAGAGCTTTCTCCTTCAAAAAAAATTTCCTCTTCTGTCCCCAAGGTCATCTAGCATCTTCTTACGTCTTCTTCCTCGTCTTCTGGTCACTTCTATCCGCCTCTCTATCTTTCCTTCAATAACTTCTTTTAGAAGGCATTTTACAAGGCAGTTACCACGTAAGATATGACCAATCCAATTAGCCTTCCATTTTCTTATTTCTTCTAGGATAGTCCTCTGCTCACTGACTCTAAATAACACTTCTTCATTTCTCACATAATCGGTCCAACTGATCTTCTCCGTTCTTCTCCAACACCACATTTCGAAGCTTTCCATGTGTTTCTGATCTACTGCCCTAAGTGTCCAAGTTTCAGCCCCATACAAAGCGATGCTCCAAACGTAGCATTTCACTAGTTTCTTTCTCAAATTTAAGTCCAATTTGCTGGTAAAAAGATTCTTCTTCTTGCTAAATGCAGCTTTTGCCATGGCAATCCTAGATTTAATTTCACTAGTACACCTTCCATCATCTGTTAACAAGCTACCCAAATATTTAAAACATTTCACATTCTCCAGTTGTTTTTGGTCTATCTTTATTGTGACTGGGGTTGGTTGTCTCAAAATTTTCATTACTTTTGTTTTTTCCACATTCAATTCCATGCTACAGCACCTTCCAGTTTTGATTAGTCTATCAATCATGCCCTGTAGCACAGTTTCTTCCTTAGCCATTAACACAAGGTCATCTGCATATTTCACAGTTTGAATAATTTGTCCTCCTAATTTGAAGTCTTCGAGCCCATCCAGAACTTCCTTGATAAGACATTCGCTGTACAAGTTGAACAGAATTGGTGATAAACAGAATCCTTGTCGAACTCCTCTTCCAATCTGCACACTTCTTGTCTCCCCTCTGTCCAGTCGTACTCTAACATTCTGATCCATGTACAATTTACTAATCAATTTTCTTCCACGCCAATCGATACCTGTTTCCTTTAGGATATGCATTAATTTGGTCCAATTTACACGGCCAAATAAAGCAAGCATACAGTTCTTCATCTATCTCCAAAGTTCGTTCTGCTATAATTCTCATCATCCCAATTGCATCCCTGGTTCCTTTTCCTCTTCTAAATCCAAACTGATCCTCTCCAAGTATATCCTCTATTTTCCTTTCGATTCTTCTTTTAAGTATCTTTGTTGTAAGTTTGCAAAATATATATAAATTATATTAGAATGATCAAGTCACGGATGATTGGACGGGCAGGGCATGTAGCACGTATGGTATAGAATATATGAAGAAAAGGGATGGCCCATTTGGGTCAACTAGCCGGTCACGGTAGCCGAGCGGTCTAAGGCATGCACTGTCTTCGCTCGCTCGGAAGCCGGGATCGTGGGTTCGAATCCCACTCAGGGCATGGATGTTTGTGTGCGTTTTTCTGTGTTTGTCTACAGGTAGAGGCCTTGCGACGAGCTGATCACTCGCCCAAGGAGTCCTACCGTATGTGTAAGATTTAGTAAACCAAAGTGAAACGGAGAGTTTCATGGAGGTAGGCCTAGGCCAAAAATTTGGGCTGTAGCGCCATAGAAAAAAAATTGGGTCAACTGCTTGCCGCCTAGGACTTCTAGTTGCTTCTTGGTTTACTCTTGGACCCTGAAGATGGAGGCTGTATTTTCCTCTGAAACAACGATGAATTATAACCACAATACACGGTGTCGTATCAGATAAGGGGTAGGAAATAACGGAAAACGACGGCAAGAGATAAAGCTAGGGGAGAGAGACAGGCCTAATGAAAGAAATGTGTTGATGTGGAGAAGGGTAATGATAGGATAAGCAAACAAATGGGGTGGGAAAGAAACAAGGGAGAAATGAGGCAAGGAGACAAAAATACAAAACAGATAAAGGGAGGAAAGTGATAATTCTCCTCTCATTTTTGACTGATTGCACAAGTAAAATAGTATTAACTAATTAAGGACATTATCATGAAGACGTATAGGCGAGAGGAAGTACAGCTCCAGCATTCTTAACCTGGGCAGTAGATGAAAATGAGAATTCAGCTTCACGCCCAAGCTACTTTACCCCTTGGAAAGAGTCCCCGGTGTTCATTAAATAGTAGGCTGGTTGAGTACCAGATTCAATGTGAACGCTGTGGAGTAGAGAAAAATCTGTTGTTCTTACCGAAAATTGAATCCCAGGCGCCCAACAAGTAGCCCGTCCCTATACCGACTATATATATAATATGACAGGAAGAAAATTCTAAGCGCTATCATGAAAAATTTATGCGCCACTATGACCTTGAACTTTCGCAGTCCTTGCAACGGACTAAAACCCTGTACCAAGGGGTCGGTTTAGTTGCCTCTGCCACTGAAGGGTCCATGACTCTTGTCAGTCTTTTCTGATGCAGGTATTGGCTATGCCATCTGTCTGATTGACATCTACATGGGCATGTGCTATAACACGATCATCGGCTGGGCTGTTTACTATCTCTTCGCGTCCTTCGACTCTAAGCTGCCGTGGATGACCTGCGACAACCCGTGGAACACCCTGGACTGCACTCCCGTCCTCAGCACCCGCAACAACAGGTCCACAAGTCCAGCCAAGGAATTCTTTGAGTGAGTACGTCTAAACTGTGCCCAAAGTATCTTTGGAGAGTGGGTTTCCATCACGCTGTGACGCAGATGGGTACCTCATCATTAGAAAGTTCTGGGATACAATGTCTTGTAGTTCGTTGAAAGTGAACAGACGTTTCGGAGGACTATATCGACTTCATATTCGGGGTCGTCTAAACCGAGCAAGACGTCAGCGTGAAAGCAGGTAGGCAATTCGGTTGACTTTAAACGGACTACACGGCGTTATAGGGAGCCGGGATAGCTCAGACGGTAAAGCGACCGGCTACGGACTGGACGATCGTCGGATTTCGAGTCCCGACTGGGTCTAGAATTTTCTCTTCTTCACGTCATCCAGACCGGCACTTGGGCCCACCCATCCCTCTATCCAATGAGTACCGGGGGTTCTTTCCCTGGAGGTAAAACGGCCGAGGTGTGAAGCTAACCACACACCTTCAACTAGTGCCGAGGTCAATAAAATTTGGATCTATACATCCACTCCCCCATAAGTGTTCATGGCGTAATGCTTAATTAGTTAAGCAGAGGGACAATTTTACCTCACCTTTTACAGGGCGATATATCCCAGAAGACAGAACTCTTCATAACCACCGCTGTGAGAACCTCAGACCCTACACGGCGCTATATCCCATGAGACAGAACTCTTCAAAACCACCTGCGTGAGAACCTCAAATCCTACATATTATGAAAAGTTCCAAGGCTGTCCCATAGCTCAAGTGCTAAGTCGCCGGCTTCCTAAAGCAGCGGCCCGAGTTCGATCCCATATGCGGTTTGTGGTGGGCATAGTGACTCTGGGGCAGGTTTTCTCCGAGTACTTCGGTTTCCCTTACCAATTCTCAGTCAACTAAATGAACTATAATTAGCTACAATCTGACGATGCTACGAGAGACGTACCAAGTGGACTCAGTCTCTCTGCAACTCAATACATTAAAAATTATAATAATTACATATTCTAGGATGTAACGCCGTGTAGTCCGTAATAAATCACCCTACGTTTCGGAGGAACATGTCTCCATGTTCAGGGTCGAAAAGTAAAAGAACTTTGCTTGCTAATTGCTTTCGCGCTGGTTTCTTTATTGTTTTATCCTTCGATCCTGAAGATTGAAGCGGCATGTTACTCCGAAATTTGGGGTTGAGTTTTAACGGACTATATGGCATCATATCCCAGAAGATACGATGATAAGTCAATAAGCAAGTTACAAATGGATATAGAACTTAAACAAATGAGAGCACTGATTTAAAAAATGCTTTCATTTCTCAACATAATCTCCTTGTACATTGAGGCACTTGTCCCATCGTTTCACAAGCCCCTGAAAACCAGCAGCATAAAGTTCTTTGGGCTGCTGTCAGAACCAGACGTATTCACACGGCATGGCCTACCTCATAATGCATGACAGGTTAGGTTTTCAGAAAGTCTGCGCACGATGGGTGCCGCACATGCTGACCCCACAACACAAAATGCAAAGAATGGGTCTGGCATTACAGCATCTCAATCGCTACCACGATGAAGGACATGATATCCTAGCCCGAATTGTCACAGGTGATGAATCTTGGGTTCACCATTACCAGCCCGAGACAAAGCGTGCGTCAATGCAGTGGAAACATCCTGAGTTTCCTGTCAAAACACGTTTAAGGTGACACCATCCTCCAGGAAAGTGATGCTGTAGAAAGGGAAGTCACCGCCTGGTTCCGACAGCATCCCAAAGAATTTTATGCTGCTGGATTTCAGGGGCTTGTGAAACAATGGAACAAGTGCCTCTATGTACAAGGAAATTATTTTGAGAAATAAAAGCATTTTTCAAATCAGTATTCTTATTTGTTTAATTTCTTTATCCATTTGTAACTTACTTATTGACTTCCCTACGTATAACTCTTCTTCACCAAAGCTGTGAGACCTCAGATCTACTTGCTAGATCACATTTAAAGCATAATATAGGAACCAAAAATCGCCATATGGAACTCGAAGATACAAGATGTTTCTCCCGCAAGGCTGCTGCCTGCTCAAGGTATCACATAGCCTCGCACAGTGTACCGTGTCTCTGTTTGCTTCCTGTCACGTCAGTAAGCATTTGGATTGCGTTCGTTACTGTATCAACGAATAGCAACAAACAAAAAATAATCTCCGTGGCTTTAGTCCACAAGCGAACTCTACCGACTGAACGACCGCCGCTTATCGGCGAAGTTAGTACCAACTTTAGCGGATAGAGGGTGTCGCGTGGTCAGCGCAACGAATCCCCACGGCCCTTAATTTCGGTTTTATAGACTGGAGCCACTACTTTTCCATTCAAGTAGCCCCTCAGTTATTCTCACGAGGATCAGTGGACACCATTCCAGACCCACTACTTCTCAAAAAATCTGGTAGCACCGGGACTCGAACCCGAGACCTCTAGATCTGTAGCCAGGAACTCTGACCACTAGACCACAAGGGGCCTAGCACTCGTTTTAACCTTCAAAATCTGTTGCCCTCGAGTGTACATTTCGTACGATACCCTAAACTGAGTTTACTTCCATAAAGTGAATTTCCAGATAGAAGAACAACGATAGCTGCAGATGTATATATTGTCACGTGTTAGCGTGACTATAGACGGCTTTTGAATTTATGATCAGATTTATTGTGGACTCTTTGATACAGCCAAGTGACTACGCTTTACATTCCACTATTACACCCACATTAATGTCCACAGCCACGTCGTCACCAACCGTGGCTTGGTAGTGACTCCCAACGGCGGACGTTCCCCTTCCTCTGCGTTCCAGAACTGTTCCCAGCCTTCACTACCACTTCTAATTGCAACAGCTCACAACGACTGAACCTCAGCGCTTCTCTGACTCCCTCACTCACTGACTTGCCCTGCTTATAATATCTCGGCACGGACCGAACTGAAAGCACAGTTCCTCTGTTGCTGTTTACGAGCAGCTGCCTATTAACGGCTGTTGTACAACTGAATATTTCGCGGTCATTGCCTAGCAACAGGTTTACGTGCGGCAATATGTGTCTGTGCGAAGTACATTGACATTAAGGATACTTACATTTTTCTCACACAGTGCCTTTAAGTGTTTAGTGTGATTTTCAGGATGAGCACCCTTCACCTCCCTATACAGAATAATGGGTAATTCGGTGGAAAGAAGACGTAGAGTTTTTCTATGAGGTAGGAACTGGATATAGAAGCGTTATTTAAATGCATTTCAGCTTTAAAAGAGCCAAGAATTATAAGGGCTTACAATATTTCTTCCTGGGGTTAGTCCTCGTACTATTCGGTTCGGAATCCTTATTTGGTAACTAATTTCATGCAGCTGAGCCCTTCTTGAGAAGCTGCCAGTTGTGCAGCCACTCAAATATTTCCCAACATTTTATTAAACCCGAAGGTTCATTACAGTGTTCACAAGAGCCCTCCAATGGTCCCTATTCTGAGCCACATCAATCCATTTCATACCATCCCATTCTATCTCTCTAAGATCCATTTTAATATTGTCCACCCACATACGCCTTGGTCTTCCCAGTGGTCTCTTTCTTATGATTTTCCCACCAATATTGTATATGCATTCCTCTTCTTCCCCATTAGTGCTACATACCTTGCTCATCCCATCCTCCTTGACTGGATCATTCTAATTATATTTGGCGAAGAGTAAACTTTATTCAGTCTTCTCCAACTTCCCGTCATTTCATCTCTCTTCAGTCGAAATACGATTCTCCTCAACACCCTCTTATCAAACACCCTCGGTCTATGTTCCTCCCTTAATATCAGAGACAAAGTTTCACCACCATGCAGAACCGCAGGCAAAATTATAGTTTTGTATATTCTAATTATTATGTTTTTAGACAGCAGACGAGAATACGAGAGGTTCTGGAATTAATTATAGCAAGTATTACCAGAGTTCAATCTCCTCTTAATTTCCTCCTGAATCAGGTTTGATCTGTTATCTTTGTTCCCAAATATTTTAACTGTACCACATTTTCAAACGATCTGTGAGCTATATTTGTCATGATTTTGGCCTGAATTCTGGTGACAAGAGCAACGTATACTTAGTATTCTATGTGTTTACTCCTAGACCAACCTCCTTATTAGCATCAAATAAGTTTCTTTGTGGTATCGATATTGTCACCCAGTGGAGTCAGATCATCGGCATAGACCAGCAGCTGATGTGTCTCATTTAATTGCAGCCCCATCTGGATTTTCTGAACTCCCTAAGGGCATATTCCAAAGCAAATTTGAAAAGCAGTGGAGATAAAGCATAAGAAAAAGTCTCCTATAACTAACTCAAAGGAGCTGAGTCCCTTTTGAGAATTTGCCAGTCACTTTCCAAAATGTCATGGTGCCCGAAATTTCAATAGCGTGTTCACAAGAGCCCTACAGTTGTCCCAGTCCTGAGCCAGATCAGTCTAGTCCATACCACCCCCGTCTCCAGTCTCGTACACGAAAGGTTAAAAAGCAGAACATAAAATAACTAAAAAAATCCTGTTATGGTCCCAAGAGGAGCTAATCGTCAGTCACAACGTGACTTGGACTTGCACAGAAGTCTATGAATAAAATAAAATTAAAATGTGCAATTTTTTGTGTAGAATATCTCAAGCTATGTGAAGAAGAATATAAGTGTTTTTGTAAATTTTAGAAACGGGTCCCCCAAAACATTTTAGAAGGGGTACTTTATAAGAGAAGTTGAGAAACATTGGTCTAAGTTAGTAACAATTTCGTTAGATAATGAAGCTCAGGATGCAAAACATAACACATAACAATGCAGCTGCACAACATGCATTCCTCGGCTAGTGTTGATAGGAGGAACAGATCACAAAGAGGATTAGAATGTCATAAAGCACGAATGGGAGAAAAGAAAAATAAAGAAAAGAGAACATTTTGAAGACATAGCAGTCTATGTGAGGCTAGTCTTAAAATTAGTCTTCAACTAATATGATGAGATATTTTGGGCTGGATTAATCTGAGGATACGAATTAGGGTAGGAACGCACACAGCGACATCGGTCGTACGGAAAAATGTCGTACGATTTTTTGCCGTACGACCTCCTTTTCACACTAGAGCGACCAAATACATTTCTTTGCTCTCCGACTGTCGTACGGTAGACGTCGCATGTCGTCACGTATGAAAGCTAAGACTACACTTTATATTCTACTATTTGATGCGACATGAACCGTACGGATATCGTACGACCGAAGTCGCTGTGTGTGTTCCTAGCCTTAGTGATGGGCTTTTGTGGATATGTTAGATTTTAGGTTTCCACGGGGGTGACTATGAAGAATGCTGTCTTCTGAAATGTGGCACTGTGTAGATATTTTTTGTCCGACGTTTCGGAGGAACGTATCGCCTCAATCTTCAGTCTACAGACACTGCTCACGCTGATTCATCGCTCACGGATTCATTATACCCTTAAGATTGAGGTGATACGTTCCTCCGAAACGTCGGTTAACAAAATATCTACACGTCGTTACATCCCAGAAGACGCCTTTCTTTTTGTGGATATGATCACTTATCTTCGGTTTCAATAAAATTCTGGAAATTTCTTGTGTGAGTAGCTATTAGTTTCTCACAAAGGATTTTGCTTCGTGGAGTTCAGATGATTAGAAGGTGAATGAAGTTACGACTCGATAAAATATTTTCCCTCCATCTTGTAAGATTCGACGTGTCTCTTAACGGTCTGTAACGAGGAGAGTTACAAACAAGGAACTCTCATAAACGGCAGAACGTTTAAAGACTGCGGGAGGATGCATCATTACTGTTGCCATAGAAACAGCTTTGGATAAGTAGCCAGCACAACTGCAGCTTGTTGACACAACCGTCACGTCCCATTAAACTCTAGATATAGACAAACTCTTTGGTAAGAATGCGCTTACTCCCTTTGGAATGTGGTCGAGACAATACAAGCAACCCTACCTCGTCACAGATGAACTAAAGCGGTAATTTTTCGTTCTAAACCACTCTCATGTGATATTGACTAGACATGGGAGTTCGAATTGAAAACTGGATTTATTGAACGGTTATAATTCCTAACTACAAAGAATTATAACAGTCTAATTTACACACTATAAAACAGTACAACTATAGCATGCATAAAGTCTTCTGTTTGTTCACTAGCCGTTGCTACGTAGCAGCTCCTAACAGTGCAACTCGTGACTCAAAACTGCTAACCGCTGAATCCGACCTCCGACTGAATAACTTCAGAGTCAGAGTTATTTTACGACGGACGGTTTACCGCCAATCAGTTCGTCTTGGCGTCAAGCCCCTTGAGACCGACGACCAGAGATTTCTTAACTGAACCTTTGCAGTCATAGTCCTTATGTAACATCTCCTGTGACGAGTGGATGGACCTGTCGTTTACAATTGCTGCTGATCCTCGCCAGCGTAGTCATTCTCGGGTCCGAGTCCCGAGGAACTCATGACAATAAATTTTCTCGTTGATCCTCGCTATATGGCCTCGCAAGAACCACATAGAAAACTCCGTTTCCAACAGTTCCTCCATTGTTACGTGTTGATTCGTTGCTGTGGAAATATGTTTACCTCGTCGTTGCCTACCAATGGCCTTTTTTCTTGTTCGACTATCCCGGTTTTTAGCTGTCGTGTTACATTATACTCGTATTCCCTTCTGATTCTACCAATGGTCTTGGAATGTACATAAATCAGGTCATGGGTCCAGATTGGGATCGAAACCAAAAACGACTTTGCTGGCGAAGCCTAACAGCAATTTACTGGACTGGAGATACCATGGTTCTACCGGGTAGGTGATCGCTCCTAGTACCGGAACACTGGGGTCAAATCCCAGGAGATTCCTTGCGAAATCCATGGCGGAGGAAGTGGCACCAATATTCTGCCCTAGTTCATTCAGTTTCCCCCTTGACAGTTATCATTCCACAGCCACTCCGTTTTAATCTGTCCACCCACCTGGAATGTACGCTAGCCATAATTAGACAGAGTTTAGTCTCTAAGCAGACTCTCATACATTATGAAGAAAATTCGAAGTATTGTCATGAAAATCGTATGTTTCCTGCTGACCTGCTGTCCGGGGTATGAGAAGCGTGTGTTACCCCAGTAATTTTTAATGCTCGTAAAATATTCGCAGTTAATTTACTTAGAATTCCCAGCGTCACATGTCTATCTGTCTACCTGTCTATCTATCTATCTACCTACCTACTTACCTTCCTATCTATCTATGGATGTACAGTCCTTTTGTTGGACTTTGTCCGCTTTTTCAGTGTCTTAACGCTGTACACAGTCGGTAGGACTCCTTGGACGGGGATCAGCCCGCTATCTCCACACAGGACAGCACACACACACAGAATAAAAGAACACAGACAACCATGCCTCAAATGGGATTCAGACCCACGATCCACGTGTTTGAGCGAGCGAAGACAGTTCATTCCTAAGACCACGCAGCCATTGTGATCGGCAGAGTCACATATCTATATGATGGAAGTAAACATCCTACCACGATTCAAACCGGGGAGGTAGAGTGGTTTCATTTAAAGCAGTAACAAAGACTGGAGAAGTGCAGTTCTTACCGGAGTTAAAAGATTCTTGACTTTCTGAACGCTTCTGGCCTTTTTTATAGGACGTGATGGACTTGGAAGCAACTAAGAACAACTCTGCTTTGCTACTAGCAGCGTGGTTACTGCATATCCGAATTGGCACTGGGTTCCTCCCACCTCATAAATTCGTCAGTCCGCCATGTTGTTGTTACAGATGGTACGAATTTAAGAGGTACAAGTTTGGGGTGGCCTCGAATGATTTGTTTATGTGTAAAACCGTAAAAGGGTCAATTTTAACGTGCATTTCAATGAGTACATTCATAGTATACATCACCACTAAAGATATAATTTGGCCCTTAACCAGTTGGAATACGAGAGAAAGAGAAGGGGAGAGAGAAGAGAAAAAGCTGGAAGGGGGAAGAGAGTAATATTAACATTTAGGGGGCATTAGGACATTTTTCGGCATTGAAAGTTCTTAGGTATTTTCCGTTCGTCCTTCTGGTAGAGGTAAGACTGAGGAAGAGTGAAGATTTAGGAAGTGTAAAAGGCAAAGGATAAAGATGTTGACTGTCTTGAGAGCACAGGGTCGGGTCGAGTGGGGTCGGTAAATTGCCGCTGGGTCACGCCAGCACAGTCATTCCTGGTTTCGAGTCCAGTGGGACTCCTGACCATACTTCATTGTCACACGACTGTGGGAGCTGTGCATCTGAGTCAGAGCTCCTTCTACATAACATTTAAGAATTCAGTTCGTACCTCGCAGGGAACACATTACGTCTCCGTTATTAAGACCGATTTGTTAATGTTGTTTGGAGAAGTAATCGCTTTTAATTCTAAGTAATACATGAAAGACATAAACACACTGTGGGTATACACAGAGTATTTAATGTTAAAGCAGGTGGTACGAGTAGATATAGTAATCACTGTGTTTTAAAGGGTTAAAAGTAAATTTAAGGGTATTTTATCGGACTGGTATGCCATGGACTTATGAATTGCCCCTGTAATCCTCATGAGTGTTTCCGGAAACTTTCTGTATGAAGTTTGCAGATACGCCTCTTTGTAATTCGCTGTTCAAATGCTTAACCGCCGTTTGTTTCAGACGCAGTGTCCTTGAGCAATACAAGGCGGATGGTTTAGACAGGGTGGGTCCTGTCAAGTGGTCCCTGGCCCTGTGTGTTCTGGCTGTTTTCCTGTTGGTCTACTTTGCACTGTGGAAGGGAGTTCGCAGTGCAGGAAAGGTTAGCGTACTTCAGTATTACAGTATTCTATAAGCTATTGTGATAACATTGGGCTAATAAGCTGGCCTATGACAGGATGAGAATCCTTCCACCGAAGGAGCCTCTGTTTTTCACTTGAGGTCAATTGGAAGACGTCTTTTCAATCGTCTGTTTTTGGGTTCTTCCAGTAGCGGCTGCATCAATGGATTGATGTGCATCTCTAGTCGAGCCTGGTATTTGCTGCTACGCTCTTGGATTACATCAGAGATGACTTGAGATGCCAAGGTCGTGGTGAAGGGTGTCGTTCGATACATGCCATGGTGCATCTGCCATTACTCGAAGTATTTTGGACTAAGATCTTTGGATGATGGCGATACTCGACTTTCTGGCACAGCCCCATAGCTCAGTCTCATAGGTCCATATGGGCTTTATGACAGTCTTCCATAGCAGGAGTTTGTTTTCCAAGTTCAGTTGGGATTTTCTTCCTAGTAGCCAGTAAAACTTTAATTTTCGCATCGATGTGTTTCCTCTTTTTGACTATGTGTTCTTTCCAATTGGGTGTTTTATTTAAGTGTATTCCCAGATAGCGCAGTGATGATGATTCCGGTATGATGTCATTGTTGATGGACACTGGAGGACATAGTCCCTTCTTTAGAGCAAAATTTATTTGCGTAGATTTGGATACATTAATATTAATTTTCCATTTTTTGGTCCACTGTTCTATGAGATGTAGGTGGTGTTACAGGTGCTCTGAAGCAGTTTCTGAGTGTTCATGGCTGGATAATATTACTGTGTCATTTGCGAAGGTGCCAGTTATTGTATCAGCTGTCGTCGGTATGTCTGATGTATATAGTAAATAGAGCACTGGGCCCAATACACTACCCTGAGGTACGCCGGACTTTACTGGAAAGAGATTTGAAATTTCACCATTGACTTTGGTTCTGAACTGTCGGCCATTTAGGTAGGACCTGATCAGCTTGAGATACGTCGGGAGAATGTGCTTTATTTTATAAAGGAGACCATCGTGCCAGACTTTATCAAAAGCCTGGCTTATGTCCAGAAAGACTGAAGGACAAATTTTTTGTCTTCAAACGATTTGTTAATTGTATGGACAATCCTGTGGCATTGTTGAATTGTTGAATGAGAATGCCGCAGACCAAATTGGTGGTGTGGGATCTCATCTAAGGAAGGTCTTATTCTGAGGTAACGTGATTTGGGTTTTTACCAAACTTCAACACTAGGATTATTTCTGCAACTTTGAGATGCTGGGGCCAGGAGTGGAGTCTCAGAACAAGTTTGAATAAGTAGGCTAACGTGACTATTCCCTTCTTTGGGAGTTCTTTCAGCATTTTCGCGCTAATTTGATCAGGACCAGGCGCTTTTTTGTTATTTAGATAAGAGATTTCTTTCTTGATTTCCTTCAGTGTACTGTTTCTGGCTCATCCATTACTTGAGCTTGGTCTAGGAAATCTGTTATTTCCTGGTTGTTTATGTTGTCTTTGGGTGCAAAAACTTCAGCTAAGTGCTCAGCGAACAAAGCAGCCTTCTCTTTGTTGCTTCTTGCCCACGGTCCTGCACTGGAACTTTGCTTTCTAATCGGGGGGGGGGGTTGACTGACAAAGGCTTTGAAGCTGTTTTAAGTGGTTGCCATATATAACTATCGTGTCTGTTGAGACTTGTGACGTAATCATAGAGTGAGGCATTTTATGTTTCTTGTAACTTTTTTTGGCCTATTGGCTAGATGACTGTATGCTGTTTTGTCTTCTGGACAGTGACTATGCTGCCATTTCCTCCCAGATTTCCTCTTTTCTCTTATTAGTTCTTTGATTTCAAACGGAATATTTTTAGTTTCCTTCTTGGTGTTTGGGAGGGGTGTGGCTTGTTTTACGGCTTCTTGTAAAGTCAAAATGAATTTTTCTGATTCTCTCTCTAACTCTTCAGGTGTCTTTAAACTGATTTTTAGATGTATCTTTTCATCTGTTATGTTTTTGTATGTTTGCCAATCGGTTTTTTATGTAGTCTAGATGTTTTTTTAATATTTATTACTGTAGTACTGATTATTCCAATAACTGGAGTATGATCTGATGATAGGTCATAATTAGAGTGTACCTCCATATATGATTTGGATATGCCTCCAGAGACAAAGAAATCGAGTAGGTCAGGTATTTTCCTTGGGTCAGATGGCCAATAAGTAGGAGAGCCTGTTGACAGGAAAGAGTAATTATTTTCTTGTAGGACTTTGGCAAGTTCTCTGCCTTTAGTGGTGGTGAGGCGCGATCCCCACAGGATGTGCTTGCAGTTATAGTCTTTTCCTGCTATAAATTTAGGCCCCAGATTGTAGAAGAATTCAACAAAATGTCCTTTCTTGACGTTATGGCGGGGAGGACAGTATACTGCAGATACTGTTATATCATAAGTCAGTGTTGTGACTGTGACAGATGTTGCTTGAAGATATTCCTTTGCATATCCGTTCAGCTGATAGTGATCAATAGTATATTTATAAATATTGCAGATCCAGCGTGGGCTGTTGTCAGGATGATTGGTATAATATAATTGGTAACCAGGGATTTTAAGGAATGACTTGTCGGTGAAGTGTGTTTCACTGATTAACATGATATCAATGAATTGATCTTGAAGGAATATTTTTAGCTCTTCTCTATGTTGAATTATACCATTGGCATTCCATGCAGCAATTCTGAGGAATTTAGCCATTTGTCTTGCCTATTAGCGTTGATGGCATGTTTAGGACCACGGTATTCTGTTGTATGCGTTGATTAAACATACTTTTGAAATCTTCTAGAAATTGACCATGAATTCTACTGATGTCTTCATTGTTCATGGTTTATGCTAACCGTCTTACAGTGTATACAATTTTTCACCTTATTCTTCACTTCCACACTACATGTTTCAGCACTAATGTGCCATCCTCAGGTGTCTTTATGCAAGTTAAACTATTGTACTGCATGCCATGATGTCTTCATTCTAAAATGACTAAAATCTGTATTCGTCATATATGTCGATAAATTCTAAATAATAAAACTTTTCAGGATTCATCCTAAGTCGCTCTCAAACACGCGAATTACGCCAATCCTCTTTTATGTGAGCATTCTTCCTACATACATTTGTGTATCGTGTTCTGTGTTGTGTTTTACTCCTGTTACTGCATGCGTTGTACTGCTGGATATGTGTGTGACACATAAAAGATNTTGGCGCAATTCGCGTGTTTGAGTATGACGTAGAAAGAATCCTGAAAAGTTTTATTATTTAGAATTCTTCGTCCTATATGACGAATACAGATTTTAGTCATTTTATAATGAAGACATCATGGCATGCAGTACAATAGTTTAACGTGCATAAAGACACCTGAAGATGGCACATTAGTGCTGAAACATGTAGTGTGGAAGTGAAGAATAAGGTGAAAAAAGTGTATACACTGTAAGACGGTCAGCATAAACCATGGACATGAATCAGTGTAACAAGACGCTAAAATATAACATCTTCATTGTTATTATTGTTTTGGTTATTTGTTGAGAGGCCCTCCTTGTTTTTTACTATATTGGCGTAGCTAATCCGACGACTTGGTGGGTTTGTGGTTGACTGCAAGGGGGTGTGGTCGGTGTTTATTACTGGTGGTTGATGGATAAGATTGTTGATATTGTTAGAGCTACTTCTATATAGTCAATTGTAGTATTCACAGCCTCTAAAGTTTGCTGGGTGTGGTCCACCACATAAGGCATATGTTGCCGGAGTGTCAGGGCTCTTTCTACAGCTAGCTGCATCATGTGGTCCTGCACATTTCACATATAGAAAATGTCTGTTTCAATAGGCTTCTTTTTGCCATATTTTTGGCATCTCGTACATTGGATGCCATGTTTCTTTTTCCTTGGAGGCTCAATTTGGATTGTGCTATTTTGTATTTGTTTAATGCTACAGATTTCTTTATTGTTATCATCTGGTTCCATGTCAACAAAAAACAGGTTGAGAAGCCCCTTAGTTTGTCTATGTTTAGCATTGATAATGTTCCTGACCTTATGTCCTAAAATGTTTAGTTCCTCTTTAATTGTTGTGGCGTCCGTTGAGTAATGTAGATATCTTATGATTACTCTGTATGCTCTTTCGTCCTTTGGCTGGTAGGTGTGATGGATTATGTTGTTATCTTTTATGAATCGTACCAATTTCCTGTAGGCATCTGGATTGCTACAATTGAGCTTTACAGTGCCATTCGCCATGCTTCTAGTGGTGTATTGATCTAGTTCCACTGTGTTGTGAAAGTTGTTAAGCATGTCTGGGAGGTTAACCACTCCGTAAACAAATATGGGAGGCGGTTTTGGGGGGGGGGTTCTTCAGTTTTGGTCTTATTTGTGTCCATGTCTTCGACTTGTGGTAAATTGCTATATCTATTACTAAGTTTGAGGTTGCCTCGTGCTTTTATTTTGGTTTGAGAATGTTTACTTCTTTTGACACATTTTACTATTTGCCATGGGTTATCCGTAAGGGGGCTGTCAATTTCCTCATCGCTTGTTGATAGCTTTCTAAAGAGCTGTGAACTATGCACAGCTTGGTTATGCATTTGTTGTTGTAATTGTTGTGGAGACTGTTGCAATTTCTGCAGTTGTTGAGAGTTTTGTATTTTCATATGTGTATGGTATTATTCTTGGTTTGGTTGAAAATGTACATTATTTGTTGGTGTCATATTGGGGATTGATGATGACTGAGTTGCGTAAGGCATTTGTGTGCTTATTATGGGTTGATATTGTGCATAGTTGGATGACGGTGCAGCTACAATCTTGGTCCGTTTCCCGTAGGAAACCTTTTTCCGGTTTATTTTGACACCTGTTAATTATTGTCTTAAAAGTTAGTGCTGCATTCTATCAATACAATTTGATATTCTCAATAAATAATCTCACCTATTTGACTGCCTCTTGGTTGAAACTCTGCGTACGTCTCTCCTCCACTTATAAACAGTTTCTTACGGAGCGGTGCTCAACACACGTCCTTACTGATCGGTAGCAGACAGACGACTGTCTTCGAATTGTACGATGGTTAGTGAATAACGAAATTGAAAGAATGTGGAAGGAACGGGTCGTGAACTATTTTGAAGTATTATTAGGGAATTCGCTTGAAATGGATGAGAAAAGGAGCAAAAATTTCAGTCAGAACAGTCGACATCCCAGCCCGGAACCCAACCGGGCAACTCCCGAGTGTCAGAAGCCTTAGCCGCCTGAGCTAACCTGCTCGGTCCCTAGCATTGTGTATGGATCCAATGTAAGCATGAAGATCCACAATGTTAATGCCTATGGGGCGAATTCCTAGAAACTTGAGTAAACTGGGACTTGCTCTTCCCCATTATACAGTCGGAACATTTCAAGCTGCGACAAGTTTTCGTCTCGCTAAGTCCAACCTACTGTTTGCTTATACCGAACTTATACATGCAAGACTTGAGTGTACTCTAGCTGAAAGCCGAGTCGAGGGTCGTGAAATGAGGGCCGTATTCGAGCCAGGCCCACCCAACGGATGCAACAAGTTTACGTGATTCTGAACTGATCTGTCTTGGTTTTCAGCGCCGGCAGACGGGTATTAGAGCACATCTGCCACTTTGGATTTATGAATAAATAAAAAAAGGAATAAAACATACTGAATATGTGTCATTAACCCTATAAAGCTTGGTGGTTTCTATGTGTACCACCAGCTTTAACATACTAAAACTCTGCATTCTGCCCACAGAATGTGGGCATTAACCTTCTGTGCTTTGTAGCGGAGACGTATGTGTTTCGTGTGAGGTACGGACTGCATTTTTATATATTGTAAAGAAGAAATCCAGTTTTTAAAGGGTTAACACATCTCCCTTTCCTTCTTTATTGGCCTTCATGGAAACCGAAGGTTTAGTACCGTGTTCACAAGAGCCTCCCACTGGTCCGTATCCTGAGCCAGATCGATCAAAGTGTTAATACATACACAAATTAAGTTTATTTTGAACGTGGCACCATTTGTGAGTCAATACAGATACCTATAGCATATTCCTCAATGACTTAAACGTAAGATTGTAAGCAGTCTCAAATAAGAGAGATAGCTGCAATCATGCACTGATTTCTAACCATTTGCATCCAACCTCCCACTTTATAAAAAAACCATACTCCAACCACATTAAAAGCAAAGCTTCCTTTTTATACACAGAATTATATTTTTATAATGGTATACATTTTAGTGTAGTAATGTAGCTTGGGCCGGTCACGGTAGCGGAGGGTCTGAGTCATGTACTGTCTTCGTTCTCTCGGAAGCTGGGATCGTGGATTCGAATCCCACACAAGGCATGGATGTTTGGCATGTGTATGTGACTATTCTGTGTTTGTGTTATCCTGTGTTTACGTAGAGGCCTTGCGACGAGCTGAACACTCGTCCAAGGAGTCCTACCATCTGTAAAATGATCATGAAACTGAAAATCAGAGGCCAGGGCGCAAGGAGGCTGTAGAGCCAGTGAAAAAAAAAGTAGCTTGGTAGAATACCGACGTTTCGGAGGAAAACACTGGCTCAGTTATCAGGACAGAACAATAACCTGAGCCGAAAGCAAGCAAGCTGCGCATGTACCGACGTTTCGGAGGAAAGTATTGGCTCCGTTTTCGAAGAGCAAGCAAAGCAAAGCAACCATGAAGAGCATTAAACAATTTTTCTGTTGGTTATATTTTTCTGTGATGTATCTGAAGATGGCAGTAGATTCCTACAAACGTTGGCAAACATCTGTCGGACTGCGTGAAGTAATATCCAGGAATATATAATATGTAGGAACTATGCTACCGTTAATAGAACAAATATTTCACTGTAGCAGGATATCCTCTTAAATATTTAAGTATTTTGGTTGGCATACAGATCCCTAACCCTACATATAGGTGTTAATACCACTTATACACGTACACGTCTAACATTTTTTTCCTTGGCACTACAGCCCCAGTGGGCCTAGGCCTACCTCCATGAACTTCTCCGTTCACTTCGGTTTTTCTAGATCTTACACATTCGGTAGGACTCCTTGGGTTGGTGATCAGCTCGTCGCAAGGTCTCTACCTGTACACAAACACAGAAGAACGCACACACAGAAACTAAACATCCATGCCCTGAATGGGATTCCAACCCACGATCCCGGTTTCCAAGCGAGCGAAAACAGTACATGCCTTAGACCGCTCGGCTACCGTGACCGGCATACGTCTAACATACCTTTAATATGTTTTAATAACATTTCAACATTTTATATATGTACAACTTTATTCTATCTTTTATTTTTTATTCTTCATCATATATTGCTATTTTAACTATACACTAATCTGAGGCAGAATTTTTATGTTAATATTCAATACCACGCATTGCACCGATAAGGATCCGTGTCGGCATTTCAATAACTGTACGTATTCCCGCCTGATGATGGTCATGTATGCCCGAAACATGTCGCAGTAAATGAAGATCTAATTGTAATACTGAAATATTTGTTGTGTTGACGGTAGCACAGTTCCTACGTATTTATATTGTCTGGGACACACAACAGGATGCAACCTATGAAAATAACCAAGAAGATTCTAATATTTCTTCCGGATTCCTTCGAGTTTTGCTGCTCAAACGCTGTTCCACGCGTGAGGGTGAACATGTCTGTGTTGTTGCAGGCAGTCTGGGTGACAGCCCTGGCTCCCTACGTCGTGCTGTTCATACTCCTCGTGCGGGGCGTCACGCTACCAGGCGCAGCGGAAGGCATCCAGTATTACCTCACGCCACAGTGGCATAAACTGAAGAACTCCAGGGTATGTTCAGAATTCATAATAAACAAGATTATAAAGACATAATCAGTACCAAATACGCAGAGTTCAAACAGGTGTTCTTTGCACCTAGTAAGCAGGTGAAGCATTTCTATGTGAATAAAAGGATACAGACTCACACGACTCAAGCTCATTCTGTAATAGAACATTACGTTAACGGCATATGAAAATCTGACTTGAAGGCAGTCTGAAAGCCAATAAAGTCTTGGGTCCAGTCCACTGTGGCTTCATGCGACATTCATGATGGATGAAATGTAATGGCAGCCGGTTCATGCCCGAAATTCTCCGGTTTTCTCCTTTTAATCACCATTCCGCTATTGCTCTATACCAAATGTTTCGCATTTCATAGGACTTAAAATAGGCATCTTTTTCTTTTATAGGTTTGGATTGATGCAGCATCCCAAATTTTCTTCTCTCTGGGTCCAGGGTTTGGAACTCTTCTGGCACTGTCAAGTTACAATAAGTTTAACAATAACTGCTACCGGTAAATAACCCATATATAACAATCAACAATCAAAAAGACCTTAAACCCATATATAAAGTGTTGTATCACAGAGCCATTGAGATTTGAGGTTCTCTCAGCGAGAACTATGAAGAATGCTGTATTTTTGGATACTACTTGTGGAATCCGCTAGAAGTTATGCTAACACTTCGAAGGAACGCATTACCTCCATCTTCAGGGTCGAAGAGTAAGCTAAGTAAGTAACCAGCAAGAATCATGCAAAAGCACAACGAATTTCGAGGCAATATGTTTCTACTAAATGTCAGTAACATCACATCCCACAAGATGCCACTCTTCACAGTTTTCGCTGTAAGAACCTTAAATCCAATAAACATGTCGATTTCTTTATCTTTTTGCTCAGTCCCTACAGACAAATAATATTTCATATCAGGTCACGACCACTTCCTCCCATATTCTTTCTAATTTCTTATACCGTGATCTTCCTACATATAGCCTCAGTTACTGACAATGTCGTTAAAATAAACGACCTTGACGACATGATACAGTGTCGTGAAAGAATGTAATATAATGGTGAGTTCTGGCCCACAGGGATGCGATTGTTACCAGCAGTATCAACTGTCTTACCAGCTTTCTGGCAGGGTTCGTCATATTCTCCGTTCTCGGCTACATGGCGCATATGCAGCATAAGACTGTACAGGAAGTCGGCTTGGAAGGTAAGCTCAAAAGAGGACCGAGTCTTTCTTCAGAAATTAACAGCAGCTCAGTTCGATAAGAAAATATTAAGTTCAGTAACTTATTGTGAAGCGAGAGGGACACTTACGTATAAAGTACGACCCAATTTGCAGCCATGTTTTCCGCCACTTCAGAGCTGCAAACTTTACGTGTTTATTTAAAAATGCAGAACCCGAAGGCAACCCTTAGAATGCATCCCGAGACAGGACCATAAGTTAAGGCTTTTAGTTTTGTTTTTAAAGTGGAACATTTAAAAACTCTGTCAGGGTTAGGCTGGGTGTCCTACTTTTACAAATCAGTTTCTTAGGTTGGCAGTTAAAATTACTTTAAAATTACACTAGTACCTGCTGATATCTTTTCGGAGTATATCAAGCTCACAGCGCGAATATACAGTGAAATGGCGATTTTAAATTTTCCCTCAAGTGCTATAATGTAAATGAATGATCACTTTAAAATAATCAGGGTTGGAAATAAGATTAGACGATTATAGACGCCATGTTCCAGATCGCTTTATACTTTAACGACGCTACGTAAGAGACCGTAAGTAGCGTTCCTAACAGCGATTACACAAACCTGCACTATGACAGTTTCCTTTATAACACTGCAGGTCGTTCCCTGGGTCCTTCTGCTGTACTGGGACGTCTATGTAGTTCTGAAGAGCTAGTTCAGTCCAGGGTAATCAAGTCTGATGCTGACAAACGAAACGTTTTCCCATTGAAATATCAATGCGCTGTACGCTGACAAATGAAACATACTACCGCACATGCGCTGTGAATGTCTGAATTCTCAGGTTGAGAGTGACTGTTGCAGGTCCAGGGCTGGTGTTCATCGTGTATCCGGAAGCGATAGCCACAATGGCCGGTTCTGTCTTCTGGTCAATCATCTTCTTCCTCATGCTAATAACACTTGGTGAGTTCGTCTTTCATTACTGACGTTTATAATGTGGCTCGGGACGAGCGTCTTTAAGGAGGAAGCAGCGGGAGCAGTTGGGGTAATCACCGTGAGAACTGAGTCACGGGGAAGGAAGGCGAGGCTGATCACAGATGTCACAAGCACAGCCTTCGGAAAACAAAGAAATGACGGCACGCCTGTAGGGTATTCGGGACGAATAGCCTTAAGGAGAGAGAACGGTGACATATAGACCCGTTGCTGTGAAATGGCCATGAAACAAACAAACTGAACAATGGTCACTGTTAACTAATGGCTCTGTAAACAACGGACGTTACTAGGTAATGACCGCAACAGGCAAGCATGCAACAATAGAAGAACTGTTGGAAGCGTTGTTATCTGTGCGGTCCGTGCCGAGGCTATGTAACCCGAGTCAGCTACTATTAGCGTCTTGAGACGGCAGTGAGAAGAAAAGGAGGTTCGTGTTTGATGGCCGCCGGTCTGGGAGTCAGGTGGAGAGATGAGTTGGTTGTGGGACAATCGCCAGATGGTAATATCGTAAGTACGGAAGCAGAGGACATTGTTGGAAGCCGTTACAGGACAATCGGTGAACACACATCAAACTGAAAAGACTTATGTGTGTGTTGCAGTGAATTGCAGAGCGTGAAATAGCAATAGCGCTATAGTTACTTGTAGTTACGAGTTGTGTGTGTAAGTGTTCAATAAATCCAATTACAGTCGGATTTATGGAACGCTTATACACACAACAATCCAAGCCCCGTTTATTTAGAATCGCAATAGCGCCGGACTACACATTTGACGGCCAGGGTTCGATTCTGGCAGGAACAAAAATTTTTATTCTCCTCTACAGCGTCCAGATCGGCTCTGGGGTCCACCCAGTCTCCTCTCCACTGGGTGCTGGGGACTCCTTCTCTGGGGGCAAGACAGCCTGGGAGTGAAATTGACCACTCGCCTTCAACTAGTACAGATGTCAAGAATGGTGGAGCTATACCGCCACTCTCCCATACGTCTTCGTGGCATGGCGCTTATTTAATTAAATACAGGGACTACTTCATTTTGTTTATATTGTAAGATCTGTGCATTTTCACCCTGCTTAGCGTTCCGAACGGAATCACATTTCCGGTATAAAGTTATTGAACACAGTGCTCAGTGAAAGGAAATTGGAATACTAAATACTTAAGATAATTAGAAAACCACACTAGTGCACTAGCAATGAATCTACTAGAAAATGTCGAAACTAGACTCAAAAGATACAACGGCCTCTCTACCAGACAGGCCTAAGTTAAAACCCAATACAAGAATTAAAATGATAACTAAGTGAACAAAAATAAATATAAGAGTTACGCCAATGGGCGTAACTCATTCACGAGCCAGTATTTATTGAACATAGACATTTATTGCGGCCGGTCACGGTAGCCGAGCGGTCTAAGGCATGCACTGTCTTCGCTCGCTCGGAAGCCGGGATCGTGGGTTCGAATCCCACTCAGGGCATGGATGTTTAGTTTGTGTGTGTGCGTTTTTCTGTGTTTGTATACAGGTAGAGGCCTTGCGACGAGCTGATCACCCACCCAAGGTGTCCTACCGTATGTCTAAGATCTAGTAAAACCGAAGTGAACGGAGAAGTTCATGGAGGTAGGCCTAGGCCCACTGGAGCTGTAGTGCCAAGGAAAGAAAGAAGAAGAAGACATTTATTGCAGATTATGTACAAGAAATGTGCGAAAGAAGTTGGATTTGTAAGGATTTCCCACAACTTCACACTTTGGTCTAGCTGCAAAATTCCACACTTGTGTTTATGAGGTGCTGGTTTAGAATCTCGGCCTGAACAACAAATTCCTCGAGAGTTTCGTGGTTTTCCTCAGTCTCTCAGGGAAAATATCGTCATAGTATCTCGGGTAGGTCAGGGTTGCTTCCTGCTAAATCCTTACCAATTCATTGTTCATCACTCCTTTCATCCGAGGATGTATACGTTGTGGTTCCCTTATTGACAATGTTGTTAACAAGTAACAACAATTTAAAACCGAAGTAAGAACAACAGTTGTTTGGAAAGAAACAGACTATACACACTTTACTGTATCCTGCGTCCTACCTGTTTCTTGCTGTTTTCTTGTTTGGCTTACTCTTCGGACCTGAAGATGGAGGCAGTAAGTTCTTACGAAACATCGGTGGGCTTCTGCCGGAGTATACGGCGTAACATCCCACAAGATAATATTCATGACATGTCCTCCGTGTATAATTCTGTTTTAGTTTCTCTGTCTGTTGCAGGTCTAGACAGTACGTTTGGCGGTCTGGAAGCCATGATCACGGCCCTCTGTGATGAGTATCCAAGATTACTGGGAAGGCACAGAGAGATCTTCGTAGCAGTGTTACTTACTGGCATATATATATGTGCGCTGCCAACAACAACTTACGTACGTACCCAGTCTGAACATAAAGTGTTAGAAACCGTAAATGGTAAAGCTATCCTTTTAACAGGCCGTGGAGGCCCATAGGGCAGTGAGACGTTGAGGGTCCCACATTTTCTAGACAGTCGGCTCAAAGATGTAGATGAGGTTTTCAGCCTCACGCGCCGGCCGCCCTTTACACCCAGGAAGATTCCTGTACTTACTCGTATTTCTGTTAGAGGCTGGAAGGATTGGGTCAATTAAAGAATCTAATGACCTCAACGGGAATTGAACCCGCCACTTTCCGGCTTGCACATTTCAGATAATCTTTATAGCCATTAAACTGTTAATTATTTGGGAGGCACAGTTCCTTGTTTTTGAATAAAAAATGTGGAAATAAGTTAAATAAATTCCAGCAATTATTTTGAATAGAATAGAATTATATAGTTCAGCTGATTCTACATGAGTAGGTGTTGAGGTTCTCTCAGCGGTGATTATGAGGAATTCTATTTTCTGGGACATACCACTGCATAGCACGTAGAAAGCCAGTCAGTTTTTTGGAGCAGCACGTCGCCTCCTTATTCAGGGTATAAGAACACGCTAATCAGAGCTTGCTACCTACAATAAGTCGGTTGACTTTCGACGGACTGCACGGCGTTATATCCCAGAAGATAGAACTCTCTGACATGTTCATTAGACCACGAAGACTTCCTTCCTGATCCCTTCAATTCATTACGCACCAAACTTCTATAATCGGATAGAGGTATTTGGTTTTCGGACTT